AAAAAAAAAAGACTGTCGCTTCCTTAAGTTACCATTTTTCTAGAACCCTGGGGCATAGTCAACATTTCTCAACAGTGATATTATTGACATTTTGGCGCTGAAAAAAACCCCTGTTGTGTTGGGCTGTCCTGTGCATTGTAGACCATTGACCGGCATTCCTGGATGTCAGGAGCACCTACCCAAGTGGTCACAACCAAATAACTTTCAAAACCCAAATTTATTACCACCGAGTCAGAATCAACCCATAGCTGATTGGTTTCTGTAGCTTTAAGTGGCATGGGAGGAGAGTGCCCATTTTTTTCCCTAAGAACAACTAGTGCAAAATTCCCTATGGACCACCCCACCAAAGCTCTCCCCCAAATGTCTCCAGACATCATCAAATCACACTTGCCTGTTAGTCTCTGTGCTAGACTAACTTGGTCTCATTGTTGTGTGCCCTCAAGTCGGAACTGACTCTGAGCTGACTCCCCAGCAGGTTTTCAGAGGCAGGAGATCACACAGAAGGAGACTGTCCATCTTGCTCCTGTGGAGCAGCTGGTGGATTCAAACCCTGTGCCTTTGGGATTACAACAGAGCTTTTTACCACTAAGCCAAGAGAGCTCCCTGGTCTCTCTGAATCTAGTTTTAGTAACTTAAAATAAAAATAAGCTTTCCCCTTCTACTGTCAAAAAAACATTGCCTTGTAAGAGTTCAGATAGAAAATGTTTGTCTCAGTCTTACGTTGCTTTAATATGTACAGGAGTTTCTTTCTGCTCCATTTAGCAACAGAGAAACGGAGTATAAGGAAGAACACCAGGATCAAGATGGCAGCCGAGGTTACAGCAAGGAAGAAGGTGATGCTCGGTGAATGGTGATCTGGAAAACAAGAGCATGCAGATGTGTAAATATATGCAAATACATTTGGTTCATATTGACATTTGCAAGCTCCTGAGTCTGAGGGGAAATGGTACGTTGGGCACCTCCAGCAAACCAACCTAGCAAACTTACCTGCATGTCAAGAGAATTTGAGAAAGGAAAATAAACCAAAAAAATCAAGAAAGGGGGGGAAAAGTAATTTTCCCAGAGTGGTCTAGTCATTCTAACACATACAAGAAGTTGCCATTTAGTCGAGTCTAACTCATAGCGACCCCATATGCATCAGAGGAGAACTGTGTCTCACTGGGCTTGCAATGACTGGTCTCTCAGAAGTAGACCTTGGATAGTGCATGTGGATAATGTGTTGGCTGCTAACCTAGAGCTCGGAGGTTTGAATCTCCCCAGAGGAGCCTGAAAGACAGGCCCAGAGATCTATTTAAAAACCAAGCACTGAAAACCCGGTGGAGCACAGCTCTCCTCTGATTTGCACAGGGCCGCCAGGCTTGATGACAGCTGGTCTAGTCTAACATACAGAAGATATCTTGGGAGATGAGAGTCTCTTCTTCCCCGAAAATATTTCTGAGTAGTTGTCCACAGGAATGGAGACGGACGGGGGCCATTCTGCTGGGTCAGCCATAAGAGCCCCATCAGAGGTCCTTTCGTTCTCTTTCCTTGGCATTGACAAAAGCATCGGACGTGTTTTGGTCTCCTGCTTTTGAATGTGTACCTCGGACTGAGAGAAAGCTACCTGGCTGTCTTCTGGAAGCAATAATGGTGGTGGAGGACATACCTGGAGACAAGTCAGCCAAAGAGGGGCCACACACTACATCCTTTTCCTTTGTTCCATTCACAAGGATGATCTTGCCATCCAAAGAGCAGCTGGGATAATCCAATGAAAAGAATTCAAGGAATTAATTCAAGTATTGATCATTCTAATTTTAAAACAATTGGCATTTTTCACCCAATGAAGTTGACTAATGATGAAGATGTGTGAGCTGGGCCCATAAGCGATGCAAAATTGTTTTTGATAACTCTTTATCCTCTCGCTCTTTCCAGCTCTCACTTAGATCCCAGGCTTTCCACAGTCCTCCCTACTCTCTCCACCTCACTAGATTCTTATTCTGCTCCAGACGCGGAAGCTCCAGAGGGCTCCTTATCCTGACACAGTTGAGGATCATAAGCTTTGCCTGGAATGTCTCTTGTCCCAAATCCTTGATCATAAGAAAGACAAGCAACTTAGCAAAAGTCTAGGAACTTTGAAAAAGTTATAAAATCTAAGACTCGGTTTCCTCCTCTGCAAAACAAGGACTGTCATGAAAGCAAATTAATGAGTCCTGTGTGGTACTCTGAATAAGGAGGAGCTCTCTGACTTGTTCATAGGGTTGCTATGAGTTGACGCTGACTTGTTGGCATCTAACAACAACTTGACCCTAAGAAAGCCATGGGGGTGCACTGGATACAGTGCTCAGTTGAGAGTAGAAAGGTTGGTGATTCAAACTCACCAGCCACTCCATGGCACAAAGATGTGGCAATCATCCTCCGTAACTATTTACAGCCTTGGAAACTCTGAATAGTCCTACTCTGTCCTATAGGGAATGCCATGTGACAGAATCAACTCAGCTACGATGAGTTTGATTTTTTTTTTTTTTTTGCATATCTGATTCAATAACTCAAGAGCAGCAACCTAAATGAAGAACTCTCTGCCATAAGTTGATTCTGGCTCACGGTGGCCCTATGTCTTGCAGAGGTCTGTGCCCCATAGGGTTTTGTTGGGTATAATCTTCACCGAAGTAGATTGTCAAGTCTTTTTTTTTCATGATGTTGCTGGGTGGATTAGAACTGACAACTTTTTAGGTTAGTAACTGAAAGCAAATGGTTTTGCCTTGTAGAGACCTTCTAAGGGAGCTCTGGTGCTGCAGTCTCTAGGAAGTCGAAATGCTCATCTAAAGCTGGTGCCTCTCTGACCAAATCCGCCTGCGGCTCCTACGGAGAAAGACGGGGGATCCCTTCCTTTGCAAGTTACAGCCAACCAAAAAACCCACTAGAAAATCAGAGATTAATTGGTTTAGACTAGATGGCAATGACTGAAGTATTAAGGGGCCTTGTTATTCTCTCTGTCCCCTTATCACTTTTTCTATCCCAAACTTCCCTATCCTCCAAAGACCAGCTCAAACACTATTCTGCCATACAGACTCATCTGACATCTCTGAACTATTTTTACTGACTTTTAAAAAAATGGCATATTTCCAATGTGTTACAAATCTATCCTTTTGTAAAGTGTAATAAACCAAAATTGCTGGAAAATATAAAGAAATAAAGACAGACAAAACACAAGGTAGGTCCAACTTTTTTTTTTTAAAGCAGAGTTAATAGACAAAGAATCCCATAATCAAGTGCCACAAAGCTATCTGTACACTCACTGGCCACATCTATGTCACTCTTGCTGCAGGCATTCCGCTTTCTTAGGTTAGCTTTGTCCTCACACACGTAAGTAGCCCTGGTCAGATCACACAAGTCAATAACTACATCCTCTCTCATGCTGCGTTACCACACGTGATGGTCCTATTTGCCCAAACACGTGGCATGTTTTTAAGTGTAGGACACACACATTATCTTTCTCCTATACTATTTTCAGTACCAGCCTTAGACTTCTGAGGATGGTCTGCTTAATGAAGAAAAGGAAGTAGCAGGAAAAGGAGTGCTGGTGGCATAATGCTTAGGCACTGCTAACCTAAAAGGTTGGCTGTTCAAACCCACTCAGCACCTTTGTAGGAGCAAAATCTGGTAAACTCTTCCTGTAAAGATCAAGGCCAGAAATCCCTATGGAGCAATTTTATTCTGTCATGTGGAGTTGTTGCTGTTGTTATGTGCCATTGAGTGGAGCACAACTCAGACAAACTCCATGGACAGCAGAGCTGAACCCTGTCCTATCCTGCGCTATGTCCATGGATTCTGACACACTAAAGTCCATTGCTGCAGTCACTGTGTCAACCCACCTGGTTGAAAGCTTTCCTCTCTTCTGCTTACCTTTCCAAGCATGATGTCTCACTCCAAGGAATAGCCCCTCCAAACACCATGCCCAAAGTATGTGAGATAGAAGCTTCATCACCCATGCCCCTAAAGGAGCACTCTGGCTGCACTTTTTCCAAGATACATCTGTTTGTTCTTTTGTTCTATGGGCCAAAATCAACTCAACCACACCTCACAATGGTAGCAGCATGCCAATACCCACATCATATCACTTCACATCACTCCCATGCTGCCTAGCAGTAGCTTATCATGTGCCACTACTTGTTTGTCAGTTTGCTGTGCTGTGGTGGCTTGGGTGATGCTGGAAGCTATGCTACCAGTATTTCAAATATCAGCAGGGTCCCTCATGGTGGACAAATTTCAGTATAACTCACTTAAGACTTGGAAGAAAGTCTTGGTGATCTAATTCCAAAGATTAGCCAATGCAAACCTTAGGGGTCACTACAGAATCCTGGGCAGTACATTGCTGAAGATGGAGCATATGAAGGACTGGGCAGTGTCCCGTTCTGTTGTACATGGAGTTGTCATGGATTGGTGCCTGCTCAGCGAGAACTAACAAGAACCAAGAATGTCCGTACTTAACAAACTTAAACAAAAATAGCCAACCCTCAAAGATAATATTCTTTGTCTTTTAAAATGCTTAACTTAGCTTATTTTCTAAATCAAAGAAAGTGAATATCATACATACTTTTTCCAGGGACGACAGCTACCATGTTTCTGATCATTAAATGTCCCAAAGCAGCAGTCTTTACAACCTGGCAGATAAATGAAAGCAATAGTTTAAAAAGGAAGCACTCTTATCAGTTCTTACATTTCCTTTTGATCATAGATTATCACCTAATCTAACATGCACAAACAGTTCAACAACTCCTTATGAAACAATTCCCTAAGTACACACAGGTTTTTATCTTAGACAGATACAATGTGTGGAAATGCATAGTCCTGGTGACTGGTGGTTGCTTTAACTTTGGATTATTTGCATTTGTTGAAAAATAGTTTTGTGAATGTTTTATACTTGACTCAAGGTTCGCTACTTAACATGAAGGTTCTGTGAATTCTCTTTCTCTTTTAAGATTTTTATTTCAAAGACTAAGACCAAAACAAATTAGCTAGGTCTACATAGCTGACTTATAATAGATTGGTGAACAGCAAGCCTACCCTCTTTTGTGAATTCTTGGCCTTGCTTGCAATCTTGTTGGCACATGTTGCATGCTGTCCCCAAACAGTGGTATCCTGGGATACACTCACACTCTGCATTGCTGGTTGGTGAGCAAGGCTTCTTGGTTCTGAAAACACCTACAAAGTCCCCAAAAGTTTTATTCTTGACCTCTAAATTCAGGAAGCAAATTTTTAATGGAAAAAAAAAACCCTTGCAATAAAATCCATGCTTATTTTAATGTTACTAATGACCTTACAGCCTAAGTTTACTTGTCAAAGCTTCTTTTCTCAATAGATTAATATACATGGTGAATCGTACCTACGCATTGCTGGCATATATCACAGGCTTTCTTTCCACCTGTGCTGGAGAAGCTGTTTGGAGGACAAGGATTGCACATGTGGTTCCCACAGAAAGTGCCTAAGAAAAGTAGAGGATAGTTGTATGTATGTGACCACACACCTCAAAGCATTATGAAAATTTACAGAAAAATTAGAGTAGAAAAGAATTCTTAGCTTTCCAGATGCCACCATGGTGGACATTATTTTGTTGGATGCCTTTTTGAAATTGCACATTTGCAAGATTTCCTTCAGCCTTATAAATAACAAGATACAGATATTGCAACAAGTAAATCCATCAAAAGGAAAACATGCCCTTTTTGAATTAATGGTACAGAATAATTGATAGGAAGTGTCAATTGGACCCAGGAGGAGATCAATACCCATTACTGGTAAACTAAGATTTAAATTATTCAAGCTGGCTTGTTCTCTGTTGTATCCCCAATTTGAGTACAAGATAGACAGACAATTTTAGGCTGTATTAAGGTCTTGCCATTGGCCATGAACTCATCAAAGCCTTTCATAAGATCTTTCTAGTAACCTTGTGAGATGAGGTAAGTTCTTTTTTACCCTCAGATCAGGTTACATGATTTAGCTCTGTTTGTGTAACTAGTATGCACCACCCAATAAATATTCATAAATACATACATAAATGGTCATTAAAAGAAACCTTGTAGTTGTTGTTGATTGCCGTTGAGGCGAGCACGACTCTATGAACAAAAGGCCTGAAACTTTTCTATAACTATTGTAATTTATCAAAGTTCATAGTTTCCAGAGGCATGTTGTTTAGGAAGTGGATGCCACTCCTGCTTTATAAATGGTATTTAGAAGGAACCTCAGTAGCCAGGACTATTAGGGTCACTGAGCCTCGTTTTCAACAGGACATATCAAATGCACATGTGAATTTGGTTCTTACCAGCTGGACAGTTTCCACAGGAATCTTGTACTGTTCCTGCCCTCTCAAGGTTCGTAACCAAGAGCACTGCTGCCATCACATTGTAATAGCCACTCCCCATGGTGAAATCCTGCATGGAGGTGACACCAGCAAAGTAGAGTCCAAATAGAACTGAAGAATCAAGTTGACTAATTTCACAAATGACACTCTACAAAAGGTAAAAAATGTCAAAGAATGAGATGATATTTCCTTTCTGAATGATCTACATCTCAACTACTACCTAGGCAATTCCACAAGACATGAATGCAGGGTCTTTCAGTGATAGGATGTGATAGAAAAGGCTTGTCTGAATTTAGACGTAGGAATTTCTGTGATAAGAAAACATGCCTAAATATTTATCTCTGTGCAGTTTTGCCAAAGTGTAAGATTATACTTTCTGATACAGCTTGAATTGTATCCTCCTTGCTTCCAAATGGATTCTAAATCCTAACTCTTACAACTGTGGTTATTGTCCCATTTGAAAAATGGATTATCTTATGTTGGTGAGGAGAATTAGCACAGGATGTGTTTCTTTCAAGATATAAAAGGAACAGATTAAAGAAATAGAAATGAGGAAAATTAGATACCATCCCACTTAAAGATCATTAACAAAGAGATATAAAGAGACAGGACCTTCCCCCAGGACTAACACACAGAGAAAGCCCTCCCCTGGAGCTGCAGCCTTGAATTAAGACTTCCACTCTGTGCTCTAAGGTCAAAGCCCACCCTCAGTCCCTGCCCCCTAGAGCTGCAGGCTTAAATTCAGACTTCTGCTCTGTGCTCTGGGATCAGCTGTGAGTGGGAATTGATGCAATGGCAACGGCTTTGGGTTTTGGAGCAACCTAAACTATAAGAAAGTAAATGTTTGTTAAAGTCTCTAGTTAGTGGTACTTCTGTTCTAGCAGCACCAGATAAATAAAGCACTTCTCAGTAGCTCTGCTCAAATACAGAAATAGCAACAGCAAGAACATTTGGGGACTTTTATACATACTTAGCTTTTGCATCTCCATTTCAACAATGGGAGTTGCTTGCTACCACAAAAAAGAGAATCTCAGTGGCATTGGACAGCTCAGCTCCACGACGTCATTGTCACTATTCCTTCTCAGATAGAACAGCATGAGGGAAGGCTCCTAACTTTCTCAATGTTGGAACACCCTGTTACCCAATTAATTTCTCACATTTTCTTAAGCCCAGGCACGTATTTGCTCGTTTTGAGATTTGAAGCTCAGATAGGAACAAAACTGAGGATTGAAAACTATTTCAGTATTACAAACTAGAAGGGGGGGGGAATCTAGAAAGGAGGAAAAAGGTTCTATCCTTACCCTCTACAACACCCCCCCCCAGTTGGTTCCTCATCATCATCTTCCCAAACGAACAAACCTTGAAGTCTCAGAGCAGGACCGGTGGAGAACTTTCCACTCCTTGATCTTCAGATAGCAGCGAGGGTTCTGTAATTCAAGGCGAGCTGCACATTAACCTAGGCAGCTGGTGACTCAGCCGGGGGCAGGACCCTGCGGGAAATCCCCTCATTTGATATTTGATGACCCAAAATCTCCCACCCAACCCCCGTTTCCCACTTGTTAATGGTACTGGAGCCCATTTCTTGGAATCTATTCTCGACAAGTAGGATATTTTTCAGATAATTTTTTGAGGAAAAGGATATTGCCACTTAAAATAGTTCTCACATCATGTCCTTCAGATATTTAAGATGTGACGGATGAAACCAACTGCTGAGTAATGGTTGACGTGGGTTTTTTTTTTCTTCTTCTTCTTCACACTTTCTTAACCTCATACAAATGCTATTTTAAAAGCCAAACCGGTAGTAATGAAGTCGACCTCATGTGTTTCAGAGTAGAATTGCACTCCGTGGGAGTTTTCAAAGGGTATGACTTTTTGGAAGAAGACCACCAGGCCTTTTCTTAGGAAGTTCCTCTGGGAAGATTCGAACCCTGGACTTTCAGTTAGTAGCCAAATGATAAGCCCTTTACACCACCCAGGTAACTTCTCACTTTCCTTTATTGAGTGCTTCCGATGTTATTTGTTCACAAGTCAAACACATGGCGACCCCATATGTTACAAAGTAGAAATGTCCAAGGGTTAACTTGACTGTAATTTTTATGGAAACAGATCACCCAGCACCTGTGTTTGAACCACCAACCTTTCCTTCTGTAGTTGACTGCTGAAGCATTGTGCCACCATGGCGTCCTTATTGCTGATGATCCTGACGTTTAATATGTACTTTAAACTGACACAATCTTCAAAAAACAGAACAAATAAAAATGTAAGTGATTGTTGTTATTATTGGAGCTGCATTACATAAATGAAGAAATTGAAGCAATAAATGCAATCAGATTATCAGCAGGAAGAGGGAGCTAGACTCCAAATGCTCAGCTTTTTCCACTATGCTCCTTTTTACACAAGGATGGCACACGAGGAAAGCAGAGAGGAGGACTGGAGGAAAGGGGAGCTGAACGAAACAGAAATTTGTGGAGAAGGTGACAATATGGGGTAGTGTTGATATTTATGATGGCTTTTTAGACAATCATGATTTTAATTTCTATTTTTAAAGATGGAGGAGGAGAAGAAAGGGAATTGGGAAAAGGTGGCATAGAAAGAGGTGAAGAAGGAGAAGGAGAAGAAGAACAAAAAGAACTCTTGAGGGATGAGGGATCCTTAGGAAGACAACCAGGGGGACTTTGGATGAATGAGGAGAGTTTTAACTAAAACAAATGAGTTTTCTGTTAGAATTCACACAGGAAAAAAAACCTATTTCTCTACAGGGGGAATAGAGGCTTGGTATTTATTGGGGGATGAAAGAGAAGGGAGCTAATATTTACGTATTATCTACACACTAAACTAGGAAGCTCTGGTGGCTTAGTGGTAAGGAGCTGTGCTACCAATCCAAAGACAGATGGTTCAAATCCATCTGCTGCTCCAAGGGGTAAAGGAGGGCAATCCCCTCTTGTGCAATTTACTACCTCTGGAAACCAACTGGAGAGTCCGCTATGAATCTGTTCCAACTCCACGGTACATAACAACAACAGCACACTAAGCTTAGCACTATATAATCACCTTATGTGCACGTGAAAGTTCGACAATGAATCGAGAAGACCGGAGATGAATTGATGCCTCTGAATTGTGGTGTTGGGGAAGAATATTGAATATGCCATGGGCCACCAGAGGATGAAAATCTATCTTGGAAACAGTGCAGCCAGAGTGGTCTTTAAAGGCAAAGAAGGTGTGATTCTGTCCCACCTACATGGGGCATGTTATCAGGAGGGTCCAATCCCTGGAGAAAGTAGAGGGTCACTGAAAAACAGAAGACCCTCAATGAGATGGGCTGACACAGTAACTGCCACAAGGGCTCAAGCTTAGCAGCAGTTATAAGGACGTACAGGCAGTATCTTGTTGCTGACTAATGACACCTAACAACAACAAACACTGAGTGCTGTATTTTTTTTTTTCATCTTTCCAGTACTGGTTATGTTGTTGTTGTTGTTAGGTATCTTCAAGTCAAGTATGACACTAAGAAAAACAATTTAGTCATAGTGACCTTCTAGTCATAGTGACTCTATGAACAACAGATCTGAACCCTTTCCTATCCTGTGCCATCCTCATAATCTCTGACACACATAAAAGCCCATCGCTGCAGTCACTATGCTAGTCTATCCGGTTGAAGTTCTTCCTCTCCTTCTCTGTCCCTCCACCTTTCCAAGCATGATGTCCCACTCCAAGGAATAACGTCTCCTAGCAACATGCCCAAAGTATGTGAGACAAAGTTTCATCATCTTTGCCTCCAAGAAGCATTCTGGCTTCACCTTCTCCAGGATGTATCTGTTTGTTCTTTCTGCAGTCCATGGGATCTTCTCCAGCACCACACTCATCAATTCTTATTCTATCATCTTTAGTCATC